GATAAAAGCACAACAGTGATCTCTGATCTCATAAGCCAAGGTGACATGAGATAACAAAATAACCTTAGATTTTTTTTATTAGTCCAAGAAAGTGGAGTCTCTGCTGTAGACAAGATATACATAGAATTAGACAGCAAGCTACTTGATTACACATCGTCACACCCTTACAAACACCAGATCTATTTGGTTGGTTACCATCAGGAATAAGTACATGGGCTAGATCACTACTGCAAGGGATAGTAATATTCTTAGTCTACATCCTGATAGTATTAGCCACAATAAGATTTATCCTCTATTGTCTTACACATCTAAAAGGCAAAAGAAGGCCTCAGGCTAAAATGTTGATGTACATTGAGTCTGCTCACTCCATCAGTGCCATTGATGGGAACATCGCTCTTACTCAATACGCTGGTGAAGAACCAGATGGTATCGGTGGAAAATCAGCACCGTGAGTTTAAAGAGCCTGCAATGGCCGCCATCTAGGGGCTCGACTAAGTCCAGGTATTGATCATTGACGTGTTATCTCCAATCTCTGATCAAAAGGAGGAACTGATTTAGGAAATAATATTGGAGTTATTATTCCCTCTCCTTGAGCATAGAGAATTGTGACCCAGCTGGGGCTGAGCCCTCACAGACTCACAAAGACACATCAACTGGGCCCTGAGATATGACAACAGATGGGACAATCCCAGAAATTATCTTAAGAAAGTTCACAAAAGGGCAATGAAACCTAACCCAAAGGACTTCTCACCTTTTGTGTTTTTCTTTTCACATTTAGTGAACAGGAATTTGTTGGACCAATGAAGACCCTCCTGAATTTTGTAACTGAAACCCGTACCAATGATTGTTAAGAAAGATGATTCAAAATGTAAGATTACAATTTCTAGCCAATCAGTGAAAAGGTGATGATTTCAATGATTCTATCCATTTTGTGATGTTGATATATACTGATGATTCTGTAACCTTCCTTGGACTCGGACAGACATGGTTGTGGCAGCACGCTTGTCCGTTTTCCGATTCTTGCCTATTCTGTAATATTCTTTGGACTCGGGCACATGGCTCTAGCAACATGCTTGTCCGCTTCCCACTTCTGCCCTTTTGAATATATGCTGAATAAAACTTTCTTTTTGCTTTACTAAAAAAAAAAAACAGAAAATATTAAACAGCATTATTTTAAAATCTGCCTTTAAACTTCAATATCTGGATCTCCCATTTTATTCTTTTCTGTCTTTTTCTCTTAATTTTTAAGATGATTCTTTTTGTGTGCTTTTTTTTTTTAAATTAAGTGACAGACATTGTATATGAAAAATTGTACAGCTAATTTGCGGCTCCAGATGATGTTGTTTTCCTCCAGAGGGAATTTACTTCTGCCTTTTGAAATTGGTCTTCAGTCCTTGTAAGGGATGGTCTATTTTCCTTTTACTCACGCTCCTAGGATATCACCTTTCAGGGTCCCAAATGAAAGCCTAGAGTATTTCCTTAATAGGTCCTAAACTTCAATTTTTTTGTCTCCGCAGCCCCATGAGACTGCTGAAAAATTTCCCTATGATATTCTTTATTGCATTCTGTACTTTTTCTTCATAGTAATTACCACTCTTTTTAACTGTATGTTTGTGTAATTATTTGACTGATGTCTGCCTCCGCCAATAGACTGTAAATTCCATGACAGCATGGACTTTATCCATTTCACTTGCCTTTGTGCTCTCAGTTACTAACACAGTGTCTGGTGCTCATTAAATGAATGAATGAATGAACAAATGAATGAAGTGAATGGATCATTAAACCTTAATAAAAATTCTAACAAAACATTAATGTAATCAGGATATCAACAAGCAGCTACTTCATCCAGTGCCTTTAAAATTCAAGCAGTTTCTTTTCTCAGCACCTTGAAAAATGCTATTTTTTTCTGTCTGAACCTCCTTCTTCAATCTTTTCTGCAATGATTTCTTGTCTTTCTTTGGGTCTCAGCTTAAATGCCACCTCTTCACAGAAACTTTTCCTGACTCCACATCTGGACCCATGCTATAATCACTCATAGAAGCCATTACCTTGATTTATGATGCTTTCCATAGATGTATTTCTATAGTTACATGGTCAGTGTACGTTTCCTGTACTACCAAGAACTATTTCTAAGTTGTTGACTGCTGAATCACTAGGCACCTGGTGCCTGAGGCATAGTAACCCATAAAAAACCTTTGCCGTGGAGTTGATTCCAACTCATAGCGAGCCTATAGAACAGAGCAGAACTGCCCCATAGGGTTTCAAGGTGGGTTTGAACTGCCAAACGTTCAGTTAGCAGTCAACCTCTTAACCACTGCACCACCAAGGGTCTGGCACAAAATAAGTGCTCAACAAATATTTGCACAATAAAGCATGGAGAAAGAGCAATCGTAAGAAACAGAGAAACTGCAGTTGCTGAATGACTGACATCTAAGAAAGCAAAGAGAAAGTGAAAGTGACATCCTTCAAAAAAAAAAAAGCATAAATGCACATATTCCTGACCATCTCTTTCTTTTTGGCTCTCTCTCTGACATGAACTCCCCAGCAGCCCAGTTCCTTTATGTACTTTCTAGGTGATTTCAGAAGTCTTTGTCAATTCTCCATCAATTTATTCATTAATGATGTTTAAAGAATTTCTCTCATATATACAACAAAATTAAAATTCTTTAATAAGCCAAAACACCCAGTGAGAGTCTCAGCTCAAATTCCTCCTAGTCTCCTTTGACTGTACCTACCAGGTATAACAGACCCCACAACACCTGACAGACAGGTGCAACTCATTATCTCTAAGGTTCCCCTAGTCCACAAGCCCACATCCCAATACGAGTGGTTAAAAGTTGATTCACCTTGAGCTAGGTGAGGATGGGAAGACATATTCCCATCCTATAGAATTAGGAAGAGTAAGTGCCACAGAAAGTGTGCCTAGAGGCATCATTAGGGTTGGTGTCACCCAGTGTGGTAACTTATGGTGTCACCCTACCCCCATGGATCTCCTCCCGTACCACCAGACCATACAGAATCCTTAGTAATGTTTTTTGTGCTAATGTTACTCATAAATCATACTTCCTGTATATCACTCTTTCTTTTCCTTTAATTACTACTTCATTCTCAAAAAAGTTATTGATCTAGGTTCACAAATACTAATTACCACAATATTGTAGCTAGAACACCAGAAAACTTGACAAAATCAGCAATTATAAAAACACCAGCAGGAAGGGAAACAACAGTGAGCACTGTTAGCACGTGCAGACAAAACCACGTGATTCGAAGCATCATTATAATTGGGTAATAATGACAGCTCTGACTGAAGCACATTTGAAGGTTCAAAAAGTAAATTAGCATAGAGTTTTAGCCTTGTAGATATATCAATAAATGTAACCTGTGCTTACAAAAATGTTTTTGTTATAACTAACTACAAGGATTTTTTTTTATAAAAAAATAAATTTATGCTGAAACACTAAACAAAAATTTTATAAACAGCCATTTTTGGTGTCACCCCTCTGACAGTGTCACCCGGTACAGTCCACATCCCATACAGTCCCCTAGTGATGCCACTGAGCATGCCCAACACTGAGCTGGTTTCAGCAAGGTTTAGAGAATTTAAATATTCTAATATTCTTATGGAGCATTTCACGAGGCATTAAAATATATTAGAAGTAGACACCATGAAGTAGCCTGGGCTTTAATTCAGTGGTCTGTGGCTTAATTTGCAGTCTTTGGATTTGTCTACAAATCTTGGGAATTCTAATGATTAGCGTGGTATTGTAGAAATGTAGCCTACATGTTTTATAGACTTCCACCCTGCTTAGTGATTTTACTAGAAACTGTGGGTTTTCAAGCATCCTTGTCACAAAGCGAGCCCTCAAACTTTGAGAATTATAAAATTAGTATATAGTCAGTACTAACTTTGATCATTGGCTATGGCCGCTTAGAAAAGGTGGTTTGTACTTTCCATTGGTAGCTCTATGTGAATCAAATGGCTACCAACAAATTTGCTCTAGTTAGGTAAATACCTCTGCATTTGAATGACTAGGTGAAGTGAGTTTTCTTTATAAAAATAGGGTTTGGTGGGTAATCAGAAGCCTCAAATGGCCAATGTATGTTCAAAACACACACACACGAAGTTTCCCACAAAACACTTGACAAAAATGGACAATTTAGAAAAATGTCTTATCTTTTTTTCCAGAACTTCTCTGGGGATTGGAGTAGGGGAGTCAGAAAAATAACAATTAACCATACGATAAGATGATAAAGGCAAAACAAAGAAACAAACCCCTTGTCATTGAGTCTATTCCAACTCATAGCGACCCTATTGGACAGAGAAGAGCTGCCCCATAGGGTTTCCAAGGAGCGTCTGGTGGATTATAACTGCTGACCTTTTGGTTAGCAGCCGTAGCATTTAATCACTACGCCATGAGGGTTTCCAAAACATTCTGTGCTTTGCCTCCGTTCTCGTTCACACAGGACCACAAGGGAATGAGTTTTCCAAATTTCAGGTTCCTTCCTTGCTGTTTTCACAGGGGATTGTACTGCTGCCTCCAGACCCCCCTTTCCAGCGTAGGAAGGAACCAGTTGCTGAGGCAACTTCCCAGCCCAATGCGCTGGGTCTCTACGCCCGACCCATAGGAGCAAGGGTAAGCAGATCGTAAAGCTCTGACTTGCACCTCATGCCCCTTTCATTAACCGAGGAGTCAGCTTTTGGAACTCGCAGATGCTCAAAAGGTGCGCAGCAACTCGGCTGACCAGTGGCTCTCGTGGCCAAAGGGTGGTGCTGTTCTTCTCTTCCAGGCCGTGCAGGCGGCCCTATCGACTGCACCTTCCCCTCTCGGCTCCAGAGAGCGCGCTTGAGGCGCCTGGCATGCAGGACTCTGCGAGAGTTCAGTGAGGGGGCGGAGCCAGGCTGAGTTGCCTAGCCAGGTCGGAATGCGGGGCGGGGCCGAGCCGAAGGGCGGGGCCGGACCAAGAGGCGGGACAGCAGGAAGCCGGCCGGCAGCAGTCTGAGCGCGGCGCTGGAGAAAAGTAGACGGGAGGTTCCTCCGACCCGCACGAGGCAGCCGGGCGGCGCCGTTACCCGCCGGCGGCTCGGAGCGAGCCGAGCTGCAGGAAAACAAGCGCGCCATACCACCATGATCCCTCTGGAGAAGACTGGCGCCGGCGACTCCTCCCCGGCCGCCGCCTCGGGCCCAGCTGTCCGGGGTGCGAGCGTGCTGCGCCGGCCGCCGCCGCAGGTCCGCGGGCTGCTGACCGAGATCCGCGCAGCCTTGCGCATCGAGCCCTTTCAGGACGCCTACACCCTAAGCCCTGGCCGGGAGCTGGGCAGGTGAGCGCGGGCGGGGCGGGCAGGGGGACCAGGGGCGGCGTGGGGGGCGAACCCAAGCCTCCCGCTGCGCCTCCATGCAGGCGAACCGGGCCGGGTGGGGACGCCTGGCCGATAAGTGCTGGTGTTGTCGGCGTTGCTGGTTGCGATAAGGCACGCTGTGACTTGGCACGGTCTTGGGTGCTGGCGGCGATTAGGGCAGCTGCGTCTCATCGCCTTCTACCCCGCCCGCCAGAACGAGTCCCCAAAGTCGGCCTGGCGTCCCAGGAGCACTGCGGTTTTAACTAAGTAGCGTCTGTGAGAAAGAGCCCCCAGCGGACTAGTCAAAAAGAGGAAGGACTCTAGGTTACCAGCAGTCTTGACATCTTCACGCCCTTTCGACCTCTCCAGTGTTTTACATGGTGATTTAAATAGAGGAACATGTTAGGTGTGAACCACGCTGCTTATATTTATCCCGGAGTAGCACATCTGAAAGGAATCTAGAGTCAGCTTTGTTTTTGCCCTTAAACTCCTCTGGATTTCTCCCTCTCCTTCTGTGGCTTTAATAAAATATAACACCAGTCGTGACAGCTTCCTTTGCACCAGAGCTGTGGTAACTTCTGTTAGCCGCCTTCTGCTGGCCTCATCATTTTAGTTTTGTTAGTTTTGTGCTATTTTAATTCGAAAATATTTAGGTCCCTGTGCCTAAAGTTCAGGTTGGCATCATTCATAGGCTCTTGGCGCTTTTCTCACTGTCTCTCCTCCGCTGGGAGCCCGCCCTTGTCATCTCCCTCCACCCCCATCCCTGTTTTGTGGGTGTGGAGGGGGCTTACAACTTGGCCTCTAGTTGAAATTGTAAAACGGGAAGGCTGTTTGGATACTTTACATTTCGTATGTTGAACAGGGGTGACATGGTGATTTCTATGAAGTTCCTTGAGGAGCGCTGGTGGCGCAGTAGTTAAGAGCTTGGCTGGTACCCAAAAGGTCGGCAGTTCGAATCCACCAGGCACTCTTTGGAAACCCTGTGGGGCAGTTCTACCCTGTCCGATAGGGTTGCTGTGAGTTGGAATCGACCTCACGCAGCAGGTTCCTCCTCAAGAACAGTTTGGAGAAGTTGGCAGACAGCAGTGGCTTTAGAGTCACACCTGACCTCGTGGTATCTCCGCCCTCCTGGCTCCGTGTGCATTTGAGCAGGGGACTTAGAGTCTCCAGCCTCACTTTTCTCCTCTGTAAAGTCCCTATAATGGCAGTGTTTACCTCCAGGACGGTTGTGAATATTTCATGCCTGTAAAGCGCATACCACTGGGCCTTGGAGGTAGCGTTCAATAAATGTTAGCTATTGCAAACATTTGTCATGGTTGCAAAATAGCACCGTGTTGTAATGGGGAAAGGGCCTGACAATTGTAATAGCCTTCAGCTTGGGTCTTGGAGGGGACTACCTTAAAATGTCGAATTTACTCCAAAAATGTTAGCGAAAGCAAAAACACCTTTCAGGAACAAGATTTTCCTTCAGTAAGCTAGCCACCAACTGAACATTCTGTGCACACCTTTTTGAAGTGTAACAAAAAAATAAAAGGCAAGGTGGGCCGCTGGCTGAGCTAGATATTCTAATTTGTCGAAATTCCAGAGATTTTGAAGTAACCCTGATTACTTGAAAAAAGGAAAACAAGGCTTTACATTATTCGGTTGAGTTGTCTAGCTTCATTCCATATAAAGGAAAACTGGTAATACAAACCGAAGTGTCTTCAGGTGGCAAGTACTGTCTTGTAGACTTTATAACAAACAATTTAATCTGAAAAAATGATTTGCACTCTACCAGGTGTTGTGGTACTAATTCCTCCAGGAATGTTCCTTTTAACTTTTGTTTTAAGCTCTATTATGAAATTAACTTGCCTATAAGGGTTTGTTTTTTAAAGTTGTGAGGTCTTCTACATACTTTTTCATGCATAAACTTCTTTACAGAAGGAAAAAATCCTGAAGCATTGAAATAATGCAAATTAGATACTTGATATCAAGAGTCTAAAACTGTGACATAAAATTACTGTGTTTTTCTCTTTGGTCCCCTTTTTCATCACGGGGGAGTTTAATGCAGTGGTTAAGAACATGGGCTTTGGAGTCAGAGAGTCTGGGATTGAGTCTTGGCGCTTTACTTACTACTCACATGGACTTGAGGACGTTACCTAACCACTGATTGCCTTGTAGAATTATCGAGAGAATTAAATAATATACCTCTATAGCCTTAAGGTTGTGCTTGGTATAAGGAGAAACACTCAATATAATTCATTGTGTAACTCAATGAATGTTATTTTACATGTAACCAAAAAGAAAAAATAAGACAACCTCAAAAAAGAAGCAGGAACTGTTTAGAAGTCTCAGGAAGTAAAAGCTCTGTTTTGTGTTATAAGCAGTCTTTGTTTAAGAATTGTAAGTTTGGCCCATTTATTATGGTTTTGACGTAATCAAATATGTTTATGCACAGTCCTTTCTCTGGTAAGATAGAAAAGTTGCCTGTTTTTACAACTGTTAACTCTGGTTGCATTTCTGATACAACTAATTGATCTCATACTGATATAGAACTTGCAGAATTACTTGTGTTATATTTTAGTGATGTGGGAGGAAAAACCAGAAGATCTATTCATTTTCTGTGGCCTTTCATATAGTAAAATGTGGAAGAGTGTAAAGAGTTAACTGTTCAGACACAGAAATTGATTTCTTTCATGAGTTACCATTATTTTATCTTATCAGAAATATAAAGCATTCGGTGAGATGGCTGTTCTAAGAGAATTTTTCAAATGGTCAGTATTGATTCCAGAGTAATGACAGGATGTGATGTTGATCATCTTAATAAGTCGGATTCTTTCATGTCTCCAGGGGAGTCCATAACAATGTAAATGTGGGTAAATATATGATGTAAAACTTTCTTTTATTGCTTAAAGCTCGACTTGTTATTTTTAAGGTTTATTACGTTTCTTTGGTCAGGATGTGTGCCAATGTAAACTGCATTAATGACTGCATTATTGAGGCACAGAAAAAATGACCTTGGGTTCTGAGAATTTTTTTCATGTTTACCCTTGAGTTTATTGATAATTTAGGAACAGAAAGATGTTTTTAGGAACTTAAAATTATACTAATTTCACATTAAATGATTTGCCTTACATGCATTTTTGTTATCTAGTCCTCAACTTTTTGACATAGTCATAATTCTGTCTTAAGAAGAAAAAAATTATTTTTTCACTTAAAAAAATTTTTTTTATTGTAAATATATAGGTAACAAAGCATTTGCCATTTCAGCAATGTTCACGTGTACAGTTCAGTGTGCAAAAAATTATTTTTAAGCCAGAAGAACATCCTTTGTGATAGTTTTTATATTATACTCAGTTGACTTTTTCTTTTGGGGAGGGAAAAAGATATACATACGAATTCCCTGCTGGAATAGGTGCTTCATAATTGTATAGGGCTTTACAGTTTTTGGTTTACAGTTTTACAGGAGCCCTTGTGGCACAGTGTTAAAGTGCTGGACTCAAAACCACCAGCAGCTCCACGGGAGAAAGACGGGGCAGTCTGCTTCAGTAGAGATTTACAGCCTTGGAAACCCTGTGGGGTCACTATGAGTCGGAATCAGCTCCACATTTTACAGTTTCACAAGTGCTTTCACATGCATTATCTCATTTACTTCTCACCACAAGCCCCTTTGGAAAGCCCAGTTTTTCAGATGAGAAAACCAAAACCAAGAAATTGAGTCTTGTGAGCAATGGCTGAGCTGGGACTTCTGACTTGGAGATAATTCCCATTATATCATAGATGTTTCCCAAAGAATGGTCTGTAGCTAATGCAATTTCCCATTGTTTTTATGAGAGGATATGTTAATGAGTTCCAAATTGGAACAGATCCTACCAAGCTTCAGTCTCATACAGTAGAGAGGGCTGTCCTATCTCATGCTCCTCAGAGCACTTAGGGTAACAGGGACAAGAAATGATTTTTATCAGACAACAATAGAAAGTTCAAGCTGAAGGGGACCCCGAGATAGGCATATTTCAGGAACTGTAGGTAATAGCTTGAGGTTTTGTACCTTACAACTCCTTAAGCATATGTCATAAATTATAAGCTATAATTTCTTTACAAATCAAGACTTGTTAAATAATATTCATGTAGAAACTGCCTTGTTTTAGGACAAAGATTATTTAAGATTTCTTGGCAGCTAGTTATTAGTTTGATGAATTACATTTACAAATAATTTTGGATGACCCAGTATTTCTGGATGGAGCAGAGGAAATTGGCTGTGTTTGTGGTTTAGCAGAAGTTACTTGGGAAGTATGGGTTCTGCTCTAAAGCATGTACTTCATGGTTTTAATTTCGAAAAGTCAGGCTTATAATGTTAAAATTAAAACCTTAATTCAAAATATGTAAAATTAAGAATTTAACAAATTTCAGCCTTGTTGCAAAACTATAAATTAAAAAACTATAAAATCTGATTATCAAACCAAATTCATCAGAAAGCTAAGTAGCTAGAGTGTCGATTCACGTATTCAGATAAGTAAGAAGGAACTAGATTTATTCAGGGAATTTATGCAAATTGTTCAAGTTGTTGCTGTGTGCGGTTAATCCACAGTGACCCTGCAGGACAGGGAAGAACTGTCCCGTAGGGTTTCCTAGGCTGAACCCTTTACAAGAGCAGATCACCAGGTCTTTTCTCCTGCAGAGCTACTGGTGAGTTCAAACCAGCAACCTTTTTCAGTTAGCACATTGTGCCACCAGGGCTCCTCTGCATCAAGTAAAGCAAAACCAAACCTGTTGCCATCGAGTTGATTCCGACTCATAGTGACCCTATAGGACAGAGTAGAACCGACCCAGAGGGTTTCCAAGGAGTGGCTGGTGGATTCGAACTGCCAACCTTTTGGTTAGCAGGCAAGCTCTTAACCACTGCACCACCAGGGCTCCATCAAGTAGAGTTTAAATTAGATCATTTCCACTATGCCTCTGTTCTATGATTATCTATGTACAAATCATTATTACTGATTATATCA